CTCATTCTCTTCACCAAGAGATACAAGGTGTCGCAATAGATCCCCCCAAAAACCAGGCTGACCCGGAAAACATATGTCAAATACCTCGGCGTTGTACTTGACAGCAAGCTGACGTGGAAGGCCAATGTAGTACAGAGAGTGCAGCGCTATATGCATCCAAGAAGATGCTTATACGGGCATGACACTGCCGCATTAATTAGAGACTTCATTAAAGATTTGACAGCGCTATAGCGTTTTACACAAGTGCGAGCAAGACGACTATATGGCGCTCTAATGCATTAGAATAATGCATTATCTACTTCATTGCCGCGATAATCGATAGATCTACATATTATATGTATACTAGATACTCGATAACAAAATATGGGTTTAATGAAGAAAATTGTAATTGAAAAATGTATTAGCCAGCTCATTGACAGTATGGTCTCACAATGAGAATTTTATTTTTATATCATTTCGCTTGTATTTTGAACTGAAAATATATTAGAAAATTAGCAAAAATAATATGTTTTGCGGTAGCAAGGTTCTTGCGCTGTAAAATTAATTAAAATTATTTTTTTGTAATAATTAAAAAAATTTTAAGCATTATAGGTTAAAAACGTAAATTTAAAGGATTCTGCATTTATTTATGCAATAATACTTCGACGAGGAATTCAGAAATTTATAATAATATGCCGCGAATGGCGGTCGTTTTTTTTGTTTAAGCCTAGTACTCTAACGAGAAAAATCCGCTGTCTAAATTAAGACAGCGGAATCGCTGTTTAATTCGTTACCGAGCTAGTGTGACCAAAAAAAATTAAGAAAAATCCATAAAACTTTAAACGCGTTGGAAAACTAAATTTTTCGAGCTGGCGACCGTCATATCTCAGTGAATTTTTAACGAATCTTATAGGGTCTTCCCACACACCGTCAAAGCGCATTCACCGTCCGTTGAACTAACTGCCCATAAGGTTTTGCCGTTCCGAATTTTCCCAAATGGACCGGCATCAAAGCGCATCAAAATCTAACGACCGTTTGTTTGGCGATAGTTAGGCGATAGTTTTTCGGTGCAACTCTGATTTCTACTTCTTAACAGTGAAAACTTTACCAACACTACGAAAGTGTTGGCACTTGGCGAGGAACAAATTAAATATGAAATTTAAAATGTGGCGCCAAAGCTGAAAGCATGCGGTTTTTTTTTTGTATATTCTTGCCCCAAATTGTCCCCAATTGCTACTATTTAATATAAAACGCCTACTTCTTTAATTATAGATTTGGGAAGCCTATACACACTCGTCGGGGATTTTGCTCTTTGTTAGAGAAAAATCATTAGAGAAACTCAAATTCCTCGTCATTTAATTCATTTTAAGTTAGTGCGGATAAAATTTTATGCAATCTGGGCTTTTGCTGTTGTACAACAGCCAAAATAGTTGGTAAATGCTCCATTTCAAATTAGCAACAGCCAATTCGACAGCCTTTGTTTACGTTTTCATGAGCCACAGCTGATTGATCAGCTGTTTGGATGCAGAAGCACTTTGATGCAGCTCTGTGGGAACACGAGTTTCGCATCTGCGAAAAATCCCAAACGTTCCTCACAGATGTGCTGTGTGGGAAGACCATATTAGGGTGCAACCACACAATAATTATTTAAAAATCAAGTATATTTGCTTTAGGTAATTCAGGTATGCAATAATGTTCCTAAGACCTCAAAGAATAAAATACAATTACCATTTGCCATTTACATGATCGCATTGTATTTTAAAATAATTAATTTCCGGTTTTGCCAATCTGAATCCGACAGCCAAGTGGCAGTCGGAAAGTTTCCGAGCGGTTTCGCTGGGAAGTTAACAGAGACGAATCCGTAAGGATTTTTCGAAATTGAAAACTAAAACATGTCAGGGGAATCCGAATCCGAGCAGGACTTGCAGATCTTGATTATCTGTTGATGAATATAATGAATTGTTGATGAATAAGATTGTGGATTTTTAAAGGGAGATGTTCGACATACATACGTAAAAAATCATTACTGTTCCTATGCTATATATATACATGTATATATACTGTCTTCCCACTCAGTGCATCTGAGTGAAACAGGATATTTAGGATATTTCGCAGATGTGAAACTCGGGTTCCCACAGAGCTATATCTGCATCCGACATGCGATTACAGCTAACGATCAGCTGTGCCACATCTAAAGCGTAAACAAAGATGGCTGAAGCGGCGAATGTGGGAGTAAAATTAAAAGTTTATTAATGATTTATATTTAGGGTGTTTAACAACAGCAAAATTCTAGATGGTTTCAGATTTTATCCGAGTAAATTAAAATTAATAAGGTAACGCGGAATTTGATTTTTTTTTTCATGATTTTTCTCTTACCAAGAGCAAATGCCCCTCAGAGAGTGTGTATGGTGGAATATGCTTCCAAAAGTTATACAATAAAGTAGAATAGGCGTTCTATAATAAATATTAGCAATTGGGAACATTTTGGAGCAGGAATGTACCAGATGTACCGGGTTTTTTGGGCATTGGTGAAGCTTCGGCGCCACATTTTAAATTCCATATTTCAATTGTTCCTTGCCATCTTTGTTTACATTTTCGTAGTGAATGGTCAAATTTTCACTGTTGAGAAGAAGAAAAAGTTGCACAGAAAAACTATCGCCAAGAAACGGTGGTTAAATTTAGATGCACTCGTATGCGGGTCAGAATGAGAAATTTTGGAAAGGCAAACCCTTATAGGGTCTTCCCACACAACATTAAAGCGCATTTAGCATCCGTTGAACAAATGCTCCATAAGGTTTTGCCGTTCCGAATTTTCCCAAATGGCCCGGCGTTAGTTCAGCATTAAAATCTAACCACGGTTTGTTTGGCGATAGTTAGGCGATAGTTCTTCGGTGCAACTCTGATTCTTCTTCTTAATTTGACCATTCACCACGAAAATGTAAACAATTTGGCGTGGAACAAATGAGATATGGAATTTAAAACGTGGCGCCAAAGCTACAAGCATGCCCAAAATAGATGTTGGCGTTTTTCCTGTATATTCTTGCCCCAATATGTCCCCAATTGTTACTATTTAATATAAACCGCCTGCCTCTACCTTATATTAAAGATTTTGGATGCCTATACCACCTATAGACACTCTTCTGGGAATTTGCTCTTTGTTAGAGAAAAATCATTAGAAAAACTAAAATTCCTTGTCATTTAATTCATTTATATTTAGTGCGGATAAATTCTGACGCAATCTGTGCATTTTGCTGTTGTACAACAGCCAAAATAGTTGGTAAATGCTCCATTTCAAATTTGCAACTGCCAATTCGACAGCCTTTGTTTACGTTTTCATGAGCCACAGCTGATCGATCAGCTGTTCGGATGCTAAATGCGCTTTAATGTTGTGTGATAACACGAGTTTCACATTTGTGAAAAATCCCAAACGTTCCTCACAAATGCGCTGTGTGGGAAGACAGTATTATGGGTTGTTTATTCAACGGACGGTGAATGCAGATGCAAGCTCTGTGAGAAGACCCTATTAAAGGATTGTATCGAGACGCGAAATCAAAATACTAAAAAATTGGCGCTATTAGATTATGAGTGGGCACACTTATAGTATTTCCAGAGCGGAGTGCGAGAAAAAAAAAATATAATAAAACAATAATTTTTGAAAAAGTGTAATCTATAAGTTTAGAGAGCAGATACAGTTAATTTATGGCAATTGCTAGAAGCATATATAATATTTTGGGAATTGGACAAATGAGGGAAATAGTAAAAATATAAATGAGGATGTTCCACAGTACATTAATTGCCTTGCCAATCTCGTACATCTCGATGCACCTGGCTCAGGTTGTTCAACTTTCAGGCATGTCCAATTCGCCTTCGTGGACTCATGTTGGATTGCATTAGTTTCTGATTGCTTTATCCGTGGCTGGGTTCGTTGATGGAATTCATGGAGTGAAAACACTCACAAAACAGAGTTTCATTACAGTTTACCTGTACTTATTACGTTTACAGTTTGACAGTTACAGTTTTACATTCCCAGCCTTACATTTCTCTACATCTACCGATCGCTCCTATGGCAGCTATATGATATATTTGTCCGATTTTTATGAAATTTATACCAAAATTCTAGAACAATAAAAAAAGCCTATATCTCAGAGCAGATAAAAATACGTTGAAAAACAACGAAGCTCTAATTTTTCTCCTAATAATTTCCCGACCGTTCCTATGGCAGCTATATCATATAGTCGTCCGATTTTCACAAAATTTTTAGCAAAATTCAGAAATAATATAAAATGGCCATATCTAAAAAATGGTGCAAAAATATTGAAAAACAGCAGTTATAATTTTTTCTCTAAAAATTTATCTAACATTTGTATGGCAGCTATATGATATAGTCGTCCGATCCGGCCCGTTCCGACATATATAGCAGTGAGAGTATATAGAAGACTATATGCAAAGTTTCATTGAGATAGCTTTAAAACTGAGGGACTAGTTTGCGTAGAAACGGACAGACGGACGGACAGACGGACATGGCTAGATCGACTCGGCTGTTGATGCTGATCAAGAATATATATACTTTATAGGGTCGGAAACGTCTCCTTCACTGCGTTGCAAACTTCTGACTGAAATTATAATACCCTGCAAGGGTATAACAAAGCATACCGGGACTTGTTTTCAAATAGGCGGTTGTCAACAAAGTATGACCGCATCATTTGTCCTCTTAAAACGCCGAAGAACTTGTGAAAAAAGCGGTCACACTTCAAAATAAAAAATATTTTTGCGCTGCAAAACAGTTTTACCCTCGTGATACAGAGCTAATACTTAGATTGTATTTGCCCCTAGCAATATAATTAAATGTACTGACTCAGCTTTCGGAACTTCAAGATTCGACTTTGCCGAATAAATACTTTTATGCTCGCAAACAGATTTTCCGTCTTCGCACAGTATTTATATCTGAAATGATTGGTATTTATTAGTATTATGTTTTTTTCTGTATTGGGTAATCATATTTGGCTTAATGGTATTTTTAGGCCTTTATTGAAGCGGTCACACTGATTATGAAATTGCAGGACAGACGTGTCTGCTTAGTATAATAATATAACTAATAAGCCCAGCGCAATATACAAGTGCATCGAACGGTCAAATACATAAAGTACGTGTAATGATGGATTAGTAGAATGCGACGACACGCGCGACGTAGTTCAGAGAGTTGTGAATTTGTTCAGTGTTGCTCAATCTATTTCGTCAGCTGCCCGATTGGTGTGTGTATGTGTGCGTGTGAAGTGCGTGTGTGTGACGTTCAGATTCGTGACCAAGAAAGCAAAGCGCAGGAAGAATATCGGAAAATAAAAGTATATTATAAAAAATTGAAAATGAAACATTTAGTTTTGTGCGTTCAGTTATGCATATGTGTGTGTGTGTGTTTTTTTTTTTTTTTTTTTTGACATGCGCTTTCTTGTCCACTCTATCTCGCTTGCTCCCATGGGTCGTGGCAAACAGTTCGCGTGCGTTTTGTTTTTGTTTTGCTACCAAAAAACTAAAGGCCAAAACAACCACACAACTTAGATACACAGACAAATTTCATTTAGCCAAAAGCAACAGTTGAACTCTGCAAATTGCGCATTGAAATCCACAAATATCGGAGCTGCATTTGCTTTTTTGTCAGTTTTCATTTTTTTCAAACCGTATTTAATAGAAAGTATTACATGTAAGACGCGTGTATGATGGTCTGTGTTTGTATAAAATTTATATATATTATATGGTATATAGTATACATATGCGTATATATATATATATATATATATATATATATATATACATGTGTAGAAAGCTCAAATAAATTCAACATTTACCAAACAGAAACAAACAAAGAGAACGAGAGAGTGCGAAGAGTTAGAGGGTGTGAAAGTCCACAACGCCAATGGGAAAAATTCGATTGATTCAGTTTCATCTTATTTACGTTTTTCGTTTTAGTTAGTTTAGTTGACGGTAACGGAACAACGGAACAGGCACAGACAAAGCCACCCACGCGCGGACCAGATAGATACAACGAGCCATAAACTTGTCGAGGAGAAGGAAGAGGCGGCAGCGCAGAAGGAATCAGCTCAGCAACCGAAGGAAACGATTCACAATCGAAAAACCACAGCAAAAAGAGGAAAGAGATAGCGACAACGACAGGAAGAGCGTCAGCAAGCGCGCGAGATGGATCGCTACGACATGGAAGACGTCGTGGTGGCGCCCCCTGCCGAATGCAGTTCGCCACTCAAGGAGTGGCGTCTTAAGCTCCAAGCGGGAACCCTAACACGTAACGATTTCATCGAATTCTTCAAGAGGGAGTCGCCCAAGTTCTTCGACTATCAGAATATGATGAAGACAGGTGAGTACAATCAGTTTATAGTTGCCATGTCCCTGTCCGTTTAGTATACGAAACGTATTAAAAGTAAGTTTTAGGAACTGGAATATGTACATACATACATATATACATATTTATGCACATATAAAGAGATGTCATGGAAATCCCTTGATCAGTGGAGCTTGCGCCAAATCGTGTTATGGTTTTCTGTAATACGATTTTTTTCAGATTTAAAAACCATAAGGTTGTGACCGGGATGAGAATGAATATATGTAATTAATTATTTTTCAGAATACGTATGTAGCATTCAGTTGCACTTATAGGTATTGACATTTTAGGCAATTTAAGCTTCTTATAGGGTCTATACACAGTCAGCATTATTGACTTAGTCCTGGCCAGGTTTGGGAGCTTCTTGGCAATAAAAGTTGGCTAATGCTAATCATAAATGGTATACATATATGTATGCCATGGTTGAATAATAATTTAATGACAAGGTGTTAAGAATAGGAAAAGGTATTTTGTAAATATTTATTATTTACTAAGAATTGATATTTCTAAAATATGGTTTTGGAAATCCTAGTTGACCCAAAAATGTATTGGCTTACAATTGTGACATTCACTATAAAAATTCTGAAATAAAATGTAATTGATTATTAATTTGTCGATTTCTTAAAAAAAAATCATGTACATGTAAAACATGATATCCATAGGCTTTTATATTGACAGACTTGATACATATCGCTCACAGGACATTCGCACACATTCAAAGCAAAAAAAAAAAATTTTAAAAGCGGTCAAAAAGAAACTACATTTTTCAGCTGAGAGGATCTTTACTAGCTATTTTATGTTATATTTATTGTCTTCATTTAATTTAGAGGTTTTTTTTTTTGTTTTTGGATTTCCGACGCGAATTACGAGCTCTATCCTGTCCTCAACCAGGAAACTCGAAGATCATAACATTCAATATGGGCATTTCTATTATGTCGAACTTGACATTTGTACGCATTCAAAGCTAAAAAATAAAACGTACAGCTGTGTTCACGGAAATAGCAGTGCCACACGACCTGCACGTTTAAGATTGGAAAATACTATTACAAACACTATTTTCATCAAATTTTTTTTCATAAAGGCTTAGTGTATTTAATTATTAACAATACCACAATCATTTAATTTAGGTAACATAAACCCTTTAGAAGATATAGCTAATAACAACAAAAAAGGTCTATATTATGCCGATCATTGAAATAGCAGTGAAAAACTAAAATTCTTCATAAATTTAAAAATATCGTATAAGAAACCTATTTCTTCTTAAATTCTAATTGACTATGATCTAATATTTTGTTAAATAGCCTTTAGAAGCTATTATAGCCTCATACATGGGTTGCAAGGAGTCCACCAAGTCTTAGCAACGCTTGAGGGGAATATGGCCTCATTCCTCCTGCACAAATTGCCAAAGCTACATCTTAGAAGTCGGAAACTTCTTTAATACGTAGCCCTTGATGTCCCCCATAAGTTTTCGATCGGATTTATATCCGGGGACTGTGCAGGACATGGCATTGCATCCACTTTTTCATTAAGAACCCACTCTTTGGCTACCTTGCTGGTATGATTAGGGTCACTGTACTGCTGAAATGTCCAAATTAATGGCATATTTTCCTCAGGATACGGCTGCTAGACAGTTTTTAATATTTAGACATAAACATAATGGTCTTTGATCCCGCAGATCATATATACAGGACCTACAACGTTGTATGAAAAGTATACCGATACCATGACTTTTAGGCCACCGTATTTTACTGTCTTCAGCGTATGGTTTTGGGGGTACTATGTATTTGGAGGTCGACGGACATATTATCTTGTCCTATTCCACCAAATAAAACCAATTTGGAGTCATTTGTCCAACGGATATAACGCCATTTGAATAGTGGCAGTTCAAGTGGCTATTGGCGAACTCCAATCTGGCCTTGATATGCCTTTAACCAAGCAGTGACATTTTCCATGGTCTTCGCGAATCTAGAATTTATTCAATAAGTCCCCGGCGAATGGTCCCATGACTGATTCCCATGCCAATTCCCGCTCATATATCCCTAGAGGATGCAAAAGGACGAGCTTTGCTGAAGCGAAGTACGCGTCGAGCCTGTACAACTGTGGTTTTTGCGAATCATACCTCGGTTTTTTTGGGTTCGGTTCATATTTTATGATTTATAAACTATTTTAAAAGAACAATTTGAAAGATTTAGAGACTCTTTACATGTTTTGCCTTCTTTCTAGGCTAAGTTATCTGATACCTTTCTCTCATGGAGCAGTGAGGTCCTGCGCCCACAAAAATAATTTTTTTGCGTTGTAAAGGTGTATTATAGTATAAACTATAATAATGACCGTAATTAAACTCATTTTTTACAAAATTAAAAGAAATTTCGGCACTTTTTGCGAAAGAAAATTAAAAACTGCTATTTCAGTGATCGGCCAAAACGAGCTGCATATGTGAAAAAATATCAATAAAACATAAAAATAGAGCAAATCTAACGGAATTTTTTCTCGATTCTTATCTTTATGTTCCATTTTACAAAAACAATGTGCAATATATCAGCTGGCAAAAAGGAATATGTACAAAAAACGTTTTGAAGTTGTTTTTCTGTCGCACTGCTATTTCAGTGAACACAGCTGTATGTTACATTTAAATAAATTTTTTTATAATCGTTAACTAATAGCTCTTGCCCAGGTCTCTATAATTGGTGCAAGTGTTAAACGTAAGGCTAATTCCTTGCATATTCGTGACAAATACAGTCACTTTTACGGAGAGCTGTTTAAACACTTATTTTAGCGAAATTAAAAATTAAAATTAAAATTTTCGTTGAGTAATGTCCGTTTCTTGTGTTTGTAATTGCAATTAGAAATATAGTGCAGTTTATTATACTTTTATATACCCTTGTAGGGTATTATAATTTCAGTCAGAAGTTTGCAACGCAGTGAAGGAGACATATATATATACATATATATATTTTTAATCAGCATCAACAGCCGAGTCAATCTAGCCATATCCGTCGGTCCACCTGTCCGTTTCTACACAAAGTAGTCCCTCAGCTATCTGAATGAAACTTTGCATATAGTCTTCTGAATACTCTCACTGCTATATATGTATGTCGGAACAGGCCGGATCGGACGAATACATTATATACATAGTTGCCATAAAAATTATCGAAAAATTTTTAGAAAAAAATTTAACTTTGCTGTTTTTCAACATATTTTCATCATACGACTATATCTTGTATGAATATTTTTCATTAAGTAGTTTTTAGCACATGTACCTTGTGCTAATGCCAAGTAGGTGGGGATGTGAAATGTTGAAAAATTAAATTATAAAATTATTTTCTTAAATTATCATTACTTGCAGTGTGTTGTTTATTGTATTTTTTAATTCTGCTTACGGCTTTTGTTTATTGCCATTGAACAGTTGCACGCTTTTGTTAATTTTGTCGGTTTTTTTTTACATCGTTTATTTCGCACTGCTGCTACTACTACTACTACTACTGACTATTTGCTTTTTCTTTGCATTGTTACTTAACACCGCCAAGTTTTTCCTTTCAAATACATCCGCAAGTTTCCCTCCTACCGGCCTCAAACACCTGTCCACCTTCTTGATTTTCTACCTGTCTCACCTTTCACACACACACACAAGAAAATCAAAAGCAAATGCCTGGCCTAACAATAAATACAACAAAATATTACAAACTTGTTTGCACCGAATTCCACTAGAAACTATTTTATCTAAGCATTGGGAAATACAAAAATTATGAGAATAATATATATATAATAAAAATATGTATATGAATATATATATATATATATATGTACCTATACATATTTTTATTGTAAATATTATTATTTTTATTACTATTATTTTAACAGTTGAAATAGTACTTTACGTGATGTTGGGTTTCTTACGAATACCCTTTGCCTCTGCTTATCTCTGGTGTTTGCCATGGCCTGTTTATATTTTTGTATTCAATCTTCGTCGCCAAAGTGCTTCCTTTTCTTTTTTTATTTCACCTATTTCAAATTTCCGACAGCTGCTCTTGTTAATACTCTTTTTTGGAAGGAATGTCGAAATAATTGCAATAAACTTGAACATCTACAGGGTGTTATATTCATATCAACCGAATTTCAATCCTCATAATAAATTTGAATTCTATGTTTTAAAACATAAACAGAAGCTAAATTTATGTGTAATATCTGTAATTAAATTCTATAAAGTTTTAATTGTTTGATAAATATGTATATTTTATATACATTTTTTGAGTTCAATACCCTCTGCGACAGTATTGTCGTAGATTTGTGGAATCTTTTTATAGACTAACTGTAATTAATATCATTATTACACTATTGAATTCATTTTGTTTCTGATATTACTTAGATTATTTTATTAAAAAAAAAAGGTTTTCTTAGAAAAGTAACATTTGACATGAGATCGATAGACATATATATATTTTTTTCTATAATCTGCTGTTACTTAAATTAGCAACTTGTACTACAGTACGTTTTGTAATATATAAAAAAGTGTAAGTCTTGATCTTGCCTGTAAAAATGCCGTGGGTTGCCTTTCCAAAATGGGGCATTGTGTGTGTGATTCATAAGGCGATGAGCTGTCCTCCGTTGTTCTTCCTCCCATTGACAGCTGTGTTCAGTTTTGTTTATTGCGTTTCTGGCCGATTTTCTTTTCCTCTGTTCAACTCTGTGTTTTCCTTTTCTTTACCTCCTTTGTTTCAGTTTATTACGCGTCAGTGGGGTATATGTTATATGCGTTTATACATATGTGTGTATGTAAATGTTTACATAGATAAGGAATGAATATACATACGTTAATGTTATTACCTTTTTAAATATAAAGAGCTTAGACCCAGGAAGACATATAAGGACATTTTTATTATGTCCAACTCGACATTTAAATTTTTAAAACGTATGCTAATTTTTTAAATATATTTTTTTATAAATGTTAACTAATAGCTCTTGCCTACATCTAAAGT